GCCAAGCCAGAGACTGACTTTCATACAAATGGATCCAGCTCATTATGGAAATTGATGCAAACTATTTAACAGGCCACAGGCTGTTCAAGGTAACCCTGAAGACAAGTACTAAAAAGTGACAGATCGTATCAAGAGGGACGAAATTAGAGGAGGATTGTCAGGCAGCCATGGAGCTGTTCGCCTAGGGAGTTTCGACGGAGACATGGTTGCCTGAATCCGTTATTTATAAAAGTGGGAGATGCTAAATTATCAGAAGATCCTTAAAAGCCGCCCTGAAGAAGGTCCTAAGTGGGAAATGCACATCTCACAGAGATTTTTTTCACACTTTCTTTGCTCACTTGCCTGTGAGCTCACAAGGGGGTGGGGGGTGGTAGGAAGGGAGCCCGTCTACTCAGAGCAGACTAAGAGAGCCAGCCACCAGCACTTAATTCTTCACACGTCAGACAAAAGAAGCTTAAAATAAATTCAGATCAGCGCTACCTGCATAAAAATCAATAAACAATTCGTTTGTTCAGAAGAAAACAGGCCCATTCATTATTCCTCTTGGCATGTGGGAAGATAGACAATTAAACTCGGCATTACCATAATAATATACAGCGGCACCGTTATTATTTCCAAACACTCCTTTCAAAAATGTGACACAGGTTAGGAGGTAATGCCGGGGTTACGCAATCCCACCCAGAGCTAGGGATAGGCTGACTAAAAGCTTCGCTCCTTTTAACAAAAGGGGCCGAATTGTCTTCGTAGATGGTGGAAACGTTCTGGCATAATATATCTTGATGCCAGAAAGCCACCTGACTGTGAATCGCGGCGATTGAGCTTCTCCGCGTGAGATGGAGCTTACCTAATTCTCCGGCTGCATTGCGACCACCAACGGCATACAGATGACCTTTGAGGGCACTTAGGTGGAAGAAGGTCCGTTTTTCATTTAAGGAAGCCACCTGCATCCACTTATTGTAGCGAGGGTCGAACCTGAAGACTGTGTCCACAGCGGTCTTCCCTTTCGTGTCGTAGTTGCTCTGCCCGCCAACCACGTAGAGGAAGTTCCCGATCACCGCGATGCCATGCTGGTATCGGGGGGCGTCCATGGGGGCCAGGGACCTCCACTCGTGCGCCTTCTCGTCGTACATCCGCAGTTCCTTACTCACGACCAGCTGCTGCCGGAGGACCCCTCCCAAGGTCACCAGGTGGGTGCTGTCCGAACGGATGGCCGTCCTCTCCGACTGCATCACCGGCTGCATGTAGGGCATCATTTGATAGTTACTGGCTTCCAAGAGCAAATTGACGCAAGTGTTATCGGTCCGCATGAAATCCACGGTCTGGACGTAGTTGATGAGATCCTGGGGCGTCATCAGAGGGAAACGGATGTTCTTCATCAGCTTCGCAGCGCACTCCATGCGCGGCTCCTCGTACCGCAGCCACCGGCAGGCGGCCTTGAAGAGTTCCAGTTCGGTGCAGTGCTTAAGGCTATTACTGGAGAGGACGAAGGCAAGGCGCTCGAAGGGGAGCTTCACAAACTCCCCCGTACTCAGCAGGGCTGGGAAGTTCTTGAGGATGAAATTGTTCACATATTTATCCACTTCGGTGAGGTTGTACGTGTTGGCAATTCGCCCCACCTCAACGCAGTTCTCCAAGGACACCTACGAAGGCAAGAGACGGCCTATTAGCACAGAAGGGCTTACCTGCTGGGTGACTTAATACCACCTGACAGCGAATACTGGAGTATTCCCTGGGTCCACTGGCATTATAGCCACTCCCCCAACACAATGTGTCCCAATTTGACAGCAGCACTGGAAGCACAGCACAAGGCTTCCATTTCCTCAGCAACTATCTGCACAACGAACATCAAGGGCGGGAGCTACAACAGACTGGGAAGACTGGCCCAAGGTTTTGCTGGTGCCCTTCTCCAATTGTCCTCAAATAAGACTGCATCCGTTTTTTTCCATAAGGGGACGCTACCTTGAAGAGTCACACACACACACACACACACATCTGGGATGGACTAGATCAAGGGAGCAGGCTTTTAAGATTTTCACTCTTAATGCTGAAATTGCAGGAGGGAAATAAAAGGCTAGGAAAACACAAATCGGGTTTCCTTGAAAGGTGGTTGAGCTGCAAAGTTCAGACAAGCGGCGAAGGGGCGGCAGGAAGCATCTGGAGGCAGCTAAAATTGAAAAGCAAGAGGGGAAAGCAACTGATGATGAGGTCAGCTGCAAGCACCCCAGCTGAAGACAGGAAACAGAAACGAGAAAGGAGATGGTTTGCAAGACGCAGGCAGTTGATAGGTTTGCCAGGAGGACCAACAGACTATTTCCTTACTCCCTATATAGTGTTTCTCAACCTCGGCAGACTGAAGACACTCTGGACTTCAACTCCCAGAATCCTCCAGTCAGCATGCTCGACG